GCTCCACTCGGCCCGCAGCGCCCTCAGCAAGCCGCCCCCGCCACGGAACCGGCCGGCGTGAGTACCGCGGGGCCTCGGGGTGGCGGCGGGCGACAGAGCTTTACGGGTGCAGCGAGCTCACTGGGGAGCGTCCGGGATGCTGACGCGGGGCTCGTCTCTTTGCAGGGGCTTCACCTTCAAGAAGACCTCCCCGGCTGGCACCCTGCCCAGGGAGCCTCGGGGCCTCTCTGCCGCCTCTGCCTTAAGGGAGAAAGACGTTAACACCTCCCTGGTTGCACTCACCTCATCCCTCCCTGCCTCCAAGGACAAGAAAACCCAAATCCAGGATTTCTTTCCAGTGGCAGCCAGTCCCCATGGACGGGGCCTCGAGCCGGCCTGCGCGAGCCCGACGCTTGCCAGGTCTCAGGAGGTGTCAGAAGTCCCCGTGGCCTCTGGAAAGAGGAGTGTGACCGAGGGGCTGTGGAGTGCTCCAGCCCGGGAGGCCGTGCCCAGTCCTGTGGCCGGCCCTGTCATTACCATAGAAGATGAGTGGGATGACATGGACGACTTTGATTTGTCAAGAATCGAAAAGAAGTATTGCAGACCGCCGGTCCTGTCCCCCAAAGGGCAGCAGGCCTCCTGCAAGGCCTCCCAGAGGTCAAACCCTGGCCTGGATGAGCCGCCTGGCTCTCCCAGGACCATGGGTGACGACACGGGGCCTTGCAGCCATGGCGCTCCGGGGTGCAGGGAGAACTCTCCAGAGGCTGAACAACAACCCTTGTCGCAGCAATCTCTGATCTGTCTTGAGGATTCAGCTCCCTGCAGCAGTAACAAGGCTGTGGGTGAGATCCTTTGGGAGAATTTATCTGCTGATGTGATTTTGGATGATGATGGGGAAGAGGCTCACCCAGGTAACAGTTTATTTTAAAGTACCAATGAGCTAGAAGAAATTATGTTTGTGTTTGCACACAGAGGGCTTGATTTTTCAGAAATCGGAAGGAGCCACATGCTCATATCTGATGAGCAGTTGTGGGTACGTGGATTTCATCTGGGTAACTACAGCTTGTGAAGGTGCAGGATTGTAAATAGTGGAGCATTGTCTCTGCAGCAGAAGTAGCAGCTGGTCTACATGGTAGTATGGGGGTTGCAAGACTGAATCCCATATGGCATTCCAGAAATGAAGAGCAATAATCTATAGGGATGTTATAGAAAGAAGCATTTTTAAAATTCATACGAAAGAGACATAAAATCATCTTACACCTAAATGTAATTATGAGAAATATTAAACCAGAAAAAGAGATCTCTTTCAATTTAAAACAAACCAACAAAAAAATCCCACGAAAATATCTCCAGCCCTTGATTATGACCAAAAAGTTCATGACTATCAGTGAGAGTCCTTCCTTGGCAGCTCCTGTGTTCCATGTAGCTTCTCTGTTTTATATGGCTTACCTGTTATGCTTTGAAACTTTTGATCTTTATTTGTGGAATGAAATGTTTATGCAACGGAACAATATGGAACAGTATTCTGTGATGCTGCTGTTACACTAAGTGGTGAAAGAATTTGTGAACTGTATTTCTCTTCCTAAGACTATTTTGTTACCTTTCCCCCACTTTCCGTGAAATGAATTTTAATGTGTTAATGATATTGGCCTTTCTTAGTAGGATTTCTCCTAGGTACATGTAAATTTACCTTCTAATTCCAGTATAGGGACTATGCTAGCCAATGAGTCTACACTCTTTTTAAGCTAGTATTTAATATAACAATAGTTTTCTATAAAATCTCTTGTAGGAAAATATACCTCTTAAGTTTTTCTTTTCTGATAGGGAAAGGTAACAATAGGCAAGCTGTTTAACTTTTCCACTTAAAAGAGGGTTTGTTGGGGTTTTGTCCATTGGTTTTTAATGGGGGAGAAGTCAGAAACTGTATTAAATGAGTGTTTTGAAATCTGGCTATTAATTTTTTCCCAGTGTTCCGTTGCATTTTTGTTTATACCAGAATGAGTTTACAGTGTTACCCAACAATATTAATACACTTCTCCTTCAGCTTCTAATGATAAAAGTGGTGAGAGCCAGAAGCCAAGCAGTGATGAGAAAAACAGCCCCCCAGAACTGGATGAGGCTGACATCGACCTGTTTGCAGGCACTGAGCTTGAAGAGGATGATTACTTAGATACTGTTCTGCCCTCCCCTGAAGAAGAGCTGCATTCCTTCTCGCCTTCTGTAAAAAACATTAGGTAAAACAAAGTTTATTGATAAAACTGTCTGTCTTTAGGATAGTTTTAAAAAGTATGAAAACAGACATGAAACCAGTGCTTGTTAAAAAGTTACAGATTGAGTTGATTGTGTCTGTTGCTTGGCAGGTTAGCAGTTGACAGTTGCTATTAATGTTTTATGAAATACTTTTTTTTATGGCCAATGTTTAAGGTAGCTTTTGCTTCAGAAAAAGCAGAGTTATTTTTCCTTTTGTAGTGGGAGGAGAAAAAAATTATTGAAGAAAGTCTCTACATGTTGGCATGTAGGATGAGTGGCAAACTGCTCAGCTACTTGGATTTTAACAAATTTGTTCATCTTTTACACACATCTTAAATGCTGTTATTCTGAAAGATAAACTTCTTTTATGGAAATGCCTTGATTTACAGATACCTGTATTTTAATGACTTTTTCTTTTGATGTTAGTAATATTTTCAAAGAATCTCCTACTGGTGGAAGATCCACAGCTAGCAGCATTGAGTCCAAGCCTGGGAAGGTTACCACAGTGCAGCCTGTTGCTGACAGTGATCCTAGTGTGGAGGATGCAGGTACATGAAACATTTTGAAATTTTATGTCTCAGATTTTCGGGATGGTTTGCAACTAATTGTTCTCCTGTGTATCCCATGTAATCTGAGAGCATTAACTAACAGTTGACTGATGGGGACAAGGAAGCAGAGGACCGAGTCTCATACAGGATTTTCAGATGTTGTGTATACATTGTGTGGACTCAGGGATGTTGTCTGATCCTGATTCTGGGTTTGTCAGTACCAGTCTGAGATATGGCACAGACTTCCTTTTCAAAACTTAAAAGCACGGATCAACCAAATTGTTCCTGAAGTCAGCTATGACACAAAGACACATCACTGTAAGCTGGAGCTGTGCCAGCACTTCCATTTGATTCCCACAGATTTGGGAAATACTGAGCTAAAATGTTTCTGAGTTTCACTCACAGAATGAAAAGTTACTAAGTACAGGTGTGGCATAGCCTGGTTTTAAGGCTGCAGGTTCAGACTTTCCTCTCAAGATATATATGGAAATGTAGCTTATGGTGCTGTTCTGTAGTGCCATTTAAAATGTTGTGTTTATAAATGCCCAGAACAGTGTTTTCATATTTCTGTTTTAACAATGCTGTTCTGGAAATCAATTTAGTCAAGCTCCATCTTGTCATACTTTAGTGTACCTATAGTGAACTTCTGATCAATGTGGACCATTAGCTTGTTGCAAGAGATGCCCTTCTGACCCAGTAAATCAGAGTTAGGCAAGTGTATCAGAAGCCAGAATTTAGTCTGAGGGAGCACACCCCCAGTAGCAGCAGTTTGAGGTACAGTGCAGCTCATTGACAAAATCCGGATGGTTTGCACTGGTACCAAATTTTAAAGGGAAGGTCATGAGGTGACAAATGCTGAGTTTCACTTGTGGGAGGTTTTCTACAGTACTTTCTAGACTAGAATTGCAATGTAATATTTTGAGAAAAGGTGTTTTAATGTGTTTGGGGAGGAGTAATTTGAGATAAGCAAAACATGTAAACATGAATGTTTTTTGGAAATAAGTTTCAAAGAACTGCAATGAGGTTTCAAAAATATATATAGATGGATAATTAAAAAGCAAGGGCAAAAATATGTAGACTAGGTGAGTTCATGCACACAGATACAGTTTCTTTATGTGAATGGACTTCTTAAGAATATATTGAAAGTAAATTATTTGGACTTATTTGTTTCAATTTACTGTCTTTTGGGAGAGTGATATCATCTTGTAACATATTCTAATAAAAATTAGTATTACTGTCTGCTAAAATCACTCCATCTAACAGATAAAGGCTTGCATTTGGAACAGCAACTCTATGGCATCATGGATGATATCTGTAAACTGGTAGATACCATTCCACTTCATGAGCTTAAGTTTCTGTCCTGTGCAAAAGAACTTCTCCAGCAGAGAGATCTCAGGTACGCTTTAATAAGCAGTCTTCTGCGTTTCCATGCTCTGTGTGAAGCGGTGTCGTGCCTGCAGGTGTCTCCATCACACTGAAAAGATGATACGGAAGGATTTTTTAAAAGCTTAAAATTACTGACCGAATGAAGAAAAAGAAAAAAAATCAAAAAAACCTGCTGAAAATATTAACAATCCCAGTGTTCTACCAGAAGAAAGGGTCCAGTTTCACATTCAGTCTGAGGCATAGGTAGTCCTGTATCTTTTCTCTGGAATCTGACTGGCACCAGATACTTCCAAAGAGGCAGAGTGATGTGATATAACCTGCTAGGTGTCATCCTGATTTCTTGTAACAGGAGGCATTAATTTAATATTCTATGTGACTCACTATCACTGACTACAGTGATTATGAGTTCTCCTAATATCCATGTACGTGTCACCTTTCAATCTGATTATTGCTACTGCAGTCTGCTTCTTTAACTTCTGCATGGTTTGATGACATAACATGTGGATGAAGTATTGAGATTTGGGATTTTGGTTTGGTTTTTTACTGGACTGGGACTATGTGCTTTTTCTGAACGTTCTCAGTAAAACTAATTTATTCTATTTCGTCTTATTACCGTAGTCAGACATAGTCTTTATAAAGTACATAAAAACATAATTTGGTTCAAGCATATTTTTACTTTTTAAACTTCAGGTTTGTGCCTCTAAGGATTTTTTGTTTGTTTGTTTGTTATGCTCTACCTTGCCTAGATCAGTTCCTTGCTATTAGGAATTCTTTTATTTTATGTCCACAGAGAAGATGTAGTAATTTTGTAATTATTTTGTTCAACTGAGTTCTGGTATTATTCTCTCTTCCCTGGATGTGTTTGAAATATTTTTTAAATATAGTGACACAGAATACGACGTAACCACCATATGTTAGTATTTTTAATAGGAGAGAGACAAAACTGTTTAACGTATGTTTTAGAACTTGATAAACCATTGCTTGTGACTAAATATTTTCTTCCTTCCCTTACTATCTCTCCCAGGAGAAAATTGCTATCTAATTCTGTCACTTTGAACAAAAGTAGCATAAACAACACTTCTCCTAGAAACTGTAAGGCATGTGTGGACCAGGGCCCTCTTGTGTGTCCTGGCCCGAACTGGAGCTTCAGTTCTGACAGGAACTCACCAAAATCCACAAACGTCCCATCTATGCTTTCTGGGACTGTTAATTCAAACAAATTTTCTACCAAAAAAAATCAAACCTTGGATGCCTCTTACGCTTCAAAGCGAAGTATTGAGGAGATCACCTGCCCAGAAACTACAGCACTGTCTTCTTCCAAGGTAAATGGCAAAGAGGGAGCTTCTCTCAGCCTCTGTTCTGAGATGTCCTTGGACAGCAGCTGCTGTGAAAAACCAGGGGTGAGAAACAGTGGAAACCAGCATCTGCTGGAGAGGCCTCTGACAAGCACAGCTCTGAAAGGTCAGAGCAAAGCTCCTACTGGCATTCCTGCAGAAGACAGTTTAGGTATAAATGATACAGGCTTTGACCTTGATCACTTTGATATTGATGATTTTGATGAGGACTGGGAGAATTCGGTGAATGTTTCGGTACCTGAGACACCATCTACACCGTCGTATCAGCCTGTCAGGGAAGGGCCACCTGCCAAATCGCTGTTGTCAAAGATAATGTCCAGAGCCAAAGGGTCTTCTGTTGTATCAAATCCTGCTGCTCCGAAATCAAGCTTCTTGATGGCAACGAAGAACCGTTCAGGTAAATTATGCTCATCAGGATTATTGTCTTTCCCATTTAAAATTTTTATTTACTTATTTTTAAACCTAAGACCAAGTAACTTACTGTAGATTACATCAATGCCTTTTGTTTCTGTGGAGATTTCTTTTTGTAAAGTCATCTTCTGTTTTTTTCCTCTAAGTGGTGCCAAACTTCTTGAATATTTATTTGCCATGCAGGTTTCAGGCTGCTGGGAAGATGAAGCTGCTAAAATAGGAAACCAGAATGTTTCTGTGTTTTAATTAAATAATGATTCTGCGGTTGTTAATTCAAAGCTGTACAAAGCTGTTTATGCAAAATGTTCAAAAACGGGCACTTGTTGAAGCAAATCTAATCCCTCTGGAGCACAGGGGTGGGTCAGTATTATTTGTGGTTACTGTAGGAATGGGTTGGTAAAAGGGGAGGTGAAAATGTTAACCCTTTCTATCAGCTTCTCTGTCACTGATTCAGCTAGCACCTACTGTTAGGTACCCACAAAGAGCAAGCGTATTCATAGTTGTTTGTGACAGAGATGAAGTTTGTCAGCGTAGAGACTATGCGTTTTACACAGTCATGAGTGAGAAGCTTGTTTCCAGAGATTTGCATATAATCAAAATTCACATTTCAGCTGGTCTTAAATTCTAGATGAATGCAATGGTTTTTAGTAAGTCATGATTTGACTTTGAAAGGTTTTGAAAGATTTAAAGGATTGAAGCAGTGGCTAAGCCATCTGTTACAGTGAAGCAGTTTTATGTTGCAAGAGGGATAGCGCAACTTGATATTGTAACTTATTGTGAGTACGTTTTCTTTGTCTACTAGATCCACTGGTTAATAACCCTGCACTAGAACGTTTCAAGGGTATGAAATTTTCCCATTCTGAAGAAATGATGAATATATTTCACAAAAAGTTTGGTTTGCACTATTTTCGGACAAATCAGCTGGAGGCCATCAATGCTGCTCTTCTGGGTGAAGATTGCTTCATCTTAATGCCCACTGGTATGTATCTCCAAACATCACACAGCTGCAGGCTTTTGGGTCTGGCACACACTTGAGAAATAAAGACCTGAAGCTCTTTTTTGCAAGGCCTGTGACAAACTTTTCACTTTTTCTGTGCCTTTGTGGAGGTGGCAATAAATTGTGCTGCTTGAATCCTGTGGCTGCAGGATTTCTGGAATATTGTATGCACTGTGGTATTTTGAATGAGGTGATTGAATTTCTGCCTTCCATAATATTTCACATGATAATTCTTCCTTATCCCATAGGTATCATATTAGAGGCAGTCACTAGTAAAAGTTTATTGTTTCTGAAAGTGCTGTAAATTGGGAAGAAAATAGGTCTCCCATCTTCCGCTCCTTCTCCACACTGTCTCCCTTTCCTCTTGTTATCTAACGTTGTTTGTGTTCTGTGTAATCCTTACAGGTGGTGGTAAAAGCTTGTGCTACCAGTTACCAGCATGTGTCTCTGCTGGAGTCACTATTGTTATCTCTCCACTGAGGTCGCTGATAATAGATCAAGTACAGAAACTGAAGACTTTAGATGTAAGTTCAAACAGCTTTATTTAGTTAAACTGTGGATAAGTGAATTAGAAATCTGAAATTTTACAGCAAATCTTGTATCTCTCAAATATAAACTACAAAAATTGATTAGATGGAAGCTGTAAAAGGCACACAAAGTTGTCTAGGAAGAACTAAATTAGATGAACTAGAATACCTTGGCAGTCTAACCGCTAAATTTATTGATGCTCATGTGTATTTGTTATTGGAGTTTAGTTTTCAAGTACAGATGCCTGATTCTAAGATTCTGAGAGTTGTATTTAGACACCTAAATAGGAGCAGCCTAGCTCTGTAGCAGAAATAAGCACTAACAATTCCTGAGTTAGGAGGCTTCTGGAGATGCTAAGCATTTCTAGAAAAGTAATACACAGAGAAAAGAAATGCAAGAAATGCAGAAGATGTGTGTTCCTAAGTCCGACCACTTATGAACTGCTTTTGCCTCGGTGAAGTGTCTTTTTGATCCTTAATGTATTATTGAGATTGAGAGATCAGGGAAACAAAGGTGGATAACATGTTTCAGGGCAAAAATACAGAGATGTTTTGGGGTATGAGACCAAAGGGACTATGACGAAGGGTTTTGAAGCTCAGACAAGTCCTTCCCTCATCAAGTATAGTTTTTGATAGTCTAACTAGATAGGGCCCTCGAATGGTTGTCTACAATTTAGTGATTGTTGCACAACGCTACACTTTGGCCGTGCTCTTCGCTCTTTCTGGTGTTGTGGGGTGCCATGGCTGTAAAAGCCAGTTAAATGGGCTCTGTGACTCCTGGGGATTTGTAGCTGCAGAAGGAATTTCCTCTGCAGAACTGCAGCTGCCTCTTGCAAGAGGAAGAGGAGACAAGCAGGCAGAATTGGCTCTATTGGTATGACCTATTCTTACATAATTTTTGTCCTTATGATCCAATTCCTTTGTTACTATTTAGCATGAATAGTAAGTTATACTTTCAAATTTAATATTAAATTGCTGCTCCAAGTTGTATTCAACCTCTTCTGATGCTATGTTGTTCTATGTTTGTAGGCACTGTTATTGAGGGTGTTACCATGTTTTTGTCCTTTTTGGAAACTTTGTTTCTTATCTTAAGACCTCTGTTGTCTGAATTCAATCTCAAACTTACAGTGTATTGAGCAATAAACAAACATCACATCTATTTTCTTTACTGGAAAGAGAGTTCAAAGAAAGCAGACAATTCCCTAAGTCAGCTGTTGGTCTGCTGGTAGAATTGGGAGCAGAATAATAGAATTTGGCTTATAGTCTTTTGGTTTTATCATTAGAAAAATTCTGTGATATCTACAGTATGGTGGGTGTTCAAATGCTATCTATAATAACACAAAGAAGCATTTAAAATGTGTTCCTTGGGGATAGTAAATACATGTACTTTTTTGGTGTGCTTTAGATGTGGGACTGTATTTGGAAGTTATTCTGTTTTGTGCATATTGAAACTTAATACTTTTTTTAATGTAGATTGCTGCAACACATCTGACTGGTGATAGAACGGATGCTGATGCTTCAAAAATATACATGCAATTGTCAAAAAAGGATCCTGTAATAAAACTTCTGTATGTTACCCCTGAGAAGGTTTGTATTTAATTTGAATTGTAAAATCACGGAGGCAACAAGAGAAGGATTACTACGAAGTATTAAAGGGGAAACACTGAACTTAGAGTAGGCTTCTGGGGAAAAAAAATTGTTAGCATTTTTTAGGTAATTCAGTAAGAGTCTGTGCAGATATAACTAATTTCAATCAGTAATTAACCAAGAATGAGAACTGCGTATCTCTGTACAATCTAAATTCTTTAAAAAAAAAAAAAAAATCCCATGCCCATCCATTTTGATATATCTTACTACATATTAGTGGCTAATTGCTGTCAAGTAGCTATTAGAATCTAGACTACTATGAATAGGATAATACAGGGAAAAAATATGGAACTGTCAAGGTCATACGTGATTGTCAAAAGATTGCCTTGTACTTAATTATATGCTGCCATTAAAAATTATGTTATTCCACAAGAGCTTTGTAAGAGAGGACTGTTTAGTGTGCTGATTACGTTTCTTTCTTCAGCATTGTCTTTCTCTGTCTTTCATGACATAAGTCATTTAAATTTACTCAGATTGTAGGACCTCTGGGTAGATGATCCTAGAACCTTGCAGTAATCCCACACCAGCTGCTTCATTGTCAATTAAAATGAAGCTGATTGCTATCTTCTTTATGCCTTCAAGCTTTACCTGTGCAGTCAAGATTAACTTTACTGTACAGAACAATTGTTTCTGTATCCTTAGTCAGATGGGGTGACACTTTACTCTGTTAGTTTGCTTTCTAATGCTGCTGGTGGATGTGTACCTAGATTTGTGCAAGCAACCGACTGATGTCAGCCCTGGAAAATCTCTATGACAGAAAACTCCTAGCGCGTTTTGTCATTGATGAGGCCCACTGTGTCAGCCAGGTAAAAACCTTGATTTGTTTTTCAAAATGGCAAAAGACTTAGTTGGAGCATCTTACTCAGTTATACTTAAATTTTGTTTTTAAACTAGTGGGGTCACGATTTTCGACAAGACTACAAACGACTGAATATGCTCCGCAAGAAGTTCCACTCTGTTCCTATGATGGCTCTTACTGCCACTGCTAACCCCAGAGTACAGAAGGATATTCAGAATCAGCTTGAGATGCTAAAACCCCAAGTGTAAGTTGCTCAGCAGCCTCCTGAAACAATTTGTTTGTGCTGCAGAAATTTTGAATGGAAAACTTAGTAAAGTAAGAAAAGCATTACAGGTCCATCTGAAATACTTAGATAATTGTATCTGATTAAATGAGAATGTATGCGTGGAATTTAACGTGAGCTATATGCAAAATATTAAAGTAAGAAGAAAAACACTTGCCAAACTCTTCCTTGCATGATTAAGGAAGCTGTTTAACAGAAACTAACATCATGACATTTTCTATGTCACTGACAAAATGTGCAAGTTGTATTTTAGGGTGCTTTTCATGAAATGGCTGGAAAACTGCAAAAGCTGGAAGTGTTCTTTAGTTAGCATTGCAGTAACATAGATAATGAGGTACCATTGGGCCTGGATTGTATTGTAGTCTTTTCATTGTACATGATAGAAATATAACAAAACAGAATGCTTTATTTTTCTTATTTTAGAAATGTATTTTAGGGAAGAAGGAGGGAGGTGACACTATATTTTGCAAATTTGGTCAGTCAAATGTGGATGCTAGTACTCAAAAGGAAAATGAAGGCAAGGCAAAATCACTGTGTGCATGTTTGGTTTATGGGCATTTCTTCCTTCTACATAGTGCCATGTAGCTTTGGTTTTTTTCACAGCCACAGGAAAAATGCAGGAATTTTAGACCCAAAGTATGGGCGATGTAAATCTCTGTGGGCATAGTGGAACAATAATTCTATTGCAAATAATGCAGAACAAGTAGTAGTTAGTTGAATTTGGGACATTCCAGTCAATACCTAGCTTGTTGAAAGGATTACTGCACCCATAAAGCTGACAAGCACCCATGACACCCATGTCATCTTTTAGGTTTACAATGAGCTTCAACAGGCATAACTTGAAATATGATGTATTGCCCAAGAAGCCAAAGAAGGTGGCCATGGATTGCTTGGAATGGATTAAAAAATATCATCCACGTGAGTACTGAGCAGCATAGTGTGCTTGCATGCATTTTTATGAACTGCTTCTTAAGGCAGGAAGAGCTTTTATAATGGTGTAAAAACCCCAAACTTGCACCTTTCTGTAAGTGACTAATATATTTACAAGAAAAAACAGGTTGGAGGCAAAATGATACTGATAATGGGAATCAGATTTATGGGCATCCTAAAGTTAAGAGTTCAAGTTAAGATGGAAAAGTAAATTATGGTAATGCTCTTGAGTAATCTTTCTGGAGGTTACCAGACCTTTTAGCATCGTGTCTTCAGAGTATAAAGGTCATCTAATATCCATACTGTTTTAATTGTTTAATTCTGTTGGTCTGCTTATCTATAGTTCCCTTGAAGATATCTTCAGAGATTCCTGTCTTTCTAGGCTCACTTTCTGGAGTCATGCAGCTCATGCTGCTGGAAGCCAACTATACCAAGCTCCCTTCATAGCTTCTCTAGGGCTGTAACCTAGTATATCATTGACTAAACTGCTCTAGCTCTTGATTTATGTAGTTAGTTATTCACCAAAACCACAGGAAATTGGGTGAGGAAAAACTAACAAAAACATCTAATATTAATAAAATTAATTTTCTTTGTTATTAAGCAGTTATTGCATTACACTTATATTTATTCCAGTAGGGAGAAGTTGGTATTTGCTTGACAGGTATGACTATTAAAACAAGTGAAAGGGAATAAAGCTGTATTGTAGCGCAAATCTTTTTTTACGTATTTGCAGATGACTCTGGAATAATTTATTGTCTTTCACGTCATGAATGTGACACAACAGCGGCTATTCTGCAGAAGGAAGGTCTTGCTGCACTTGCCTATCATGCTGGCCTTGCTGACTCCAACAGAGATCTTGTACAAAAGAAGTGGATTAATCAAGAAGGATGCCAGGTAAAAGAAAAGCAACTGGGGGAAAAAAGTGAATAGAATTTAGAGCACTTTTATCCTTCTTGGCCTAGTAGATGAAAGCGAAGTTGTGTAACGTTATGCCAAATTGGATGCAGTATTGAATAACTGATCCAAACAGATCTGCCAAAACACATTAGCCATCTTTTTACTGGGAGTTTTACAAATCAAAGTCTGCAGCACAGCACCAAGTGATGATACTCCAGGAGGAAGGAACTGAAGCAGTACAAGCTTCTGAAACAGCTCTAGGCTCAAATTTGGAGTTTTCCCTTTGTCCGGAATAGCTCTTCTGAAAGGAGAGGTATTTTTGCTATTTTGTACTTGTCTTGCAGTGTTACAATTGAAATTCTAGGTTCTGCAGTTTTGTAATCCTGATCACCTGTCTATTTTCGGTGCAGAGTGCTGCATGAATAACTTTCATAACTCTGTGTAACAAATTATTATTTCCTTCCTAGGTTATATGTGCAACAATTGCCTTTGGGATGGGAATTGATAAACCTGACGTACGCTATGTTATCCATGCTTCTCTTCCTAAATCTATAGAAGGTTACTATCAAGAATCTGGCAGAGCTGGACGAGATGGTGAAATGTCTCACTGTCTGCTCTTCTACAGCTACAGTGATGTAACCAGAATTAGAAGACTAATACTAAGTGAGTTCTCATGTTTGTAACTTAATGGAGACAATATTAAAGAAGTCACTTAGTCACTGGTCTCTGTTTCATTTTTAGACTGTGTTATTTTCTCATTTAGAAGTGCCATATATAGTATGGTATTGCAAAATGGGAGAACTGTGCATCTTTACCTGAATAGTTTTCTGTAATGGAAGATTTTTGTCACTTGTACTTAATTTTAGTCAAAAACATTTTGCTTCATACATATCCATCTCTTGATTCTTGTCATTCTAGTCTTATTTCCCTTCTCCATTCTTTAAAACTTTAGAGGCAAAATCTGTCCCAGTTTAGTTCTGTACTAACCTACTCATCTTTTTTTAAGCAAAAAAGAATATTGTGTTTTGTCTATCTGATAATACATAAAAGTGCAAAGGTGCAGATTTAACAAATACAATTGAATTTATTGCTTTTCAGTGGAGAAAGATGGAAACAGTCACACAAGACAGACCCACTTTAACAACCTGTACAGTATGGTTCACTACTGTGAGAATGTAGTTGATTGCCGGAGAATTCAGCTTTTGGCCTACTTTGGGGAAACTGATTTTAATCCCACCTTCTGTAAAGATCACCCAGAAGTAATTTGTGATAACTGCAGTAGAAAGAAGGTAAAAATCATAGCTCTTATTTATAGTGTCATCAAACTGATTTTGCATTTAGCATTAAAAAATGGTTACATGACATTTGGGAAGGCAAATGGAGAAAATGAATAAGATGTCTTGTATTTTTGTGATGCTAGATGCTTTGGATTATTTCCAGGGTTTAACCTAGAGTAGAATCATACAGACTATCCATGGACTTACGATGCTCCTATTTCTGTCAGAGGAGGACTAGTGAGGTGTAAGAATATTCCTTAGTGTCGATTTTTCTTGGCTACAGTGCTTATAGGAGGCAGGAGCTAATATAGGATCCACTGGAATGGCTGTGGGGAAATCCCTTCCATTGCCTATTCTGATGTTTTCAAGGCAGCTTTGTGCTGCCAGAATAGCATGAGTGCCACATTAGGAGGTGTACACTGCTTGAGGTGGCCCAAAGATTAAGGTTTGTGCATCAAGGATTGAAGCAAACTTGTTAGTGGCATGAACAGAGTAGAAGAGAAGATAGCTGTTGAAGCAGACAGGGAAGGATTACTGAGCTCAGTTTTATACCTGATGATACTGCTTCTCAGTCCTGTGTTTGCAACAAAATTTGGCTAGAATAATGCGTATTCAGTCCAGTCTTCTCATTTTAATGCATATTGGAAGTGTAAGTTGTAGTGCATGGCAGCAGAATAATTACAGGAATACTTTCCAAATGATTTACCTTGATTACCAGTATTCATGCAGCAATCTTGCAGCTCACTCTATGGAATTAACACAATAGAGATGATATACAATCAGTTGGTATGTATTATTGCATTTTCCAGGGTATTATCAAATTAAGAATTCCTGTGACTATATCGTATCACTGTAGGTATACTAACTAGAAAATGACTATTTCTCTGTTTGGAACAAAATGAATTCATGACTGGAAAAAGCTCAATAATGAAAAATTAGGTTGTCAGTAGCAACTTGCATTAGGACAGAACCACATAACATTGTTTCCTAATCAAGTCTATTTTAATAGGATTACAAATCAAGAAATGTAACAGATGAAGTGAAGAGCATTATAAGATTTGTACAACAGCACTGTGGACAAATGGGACGAATAAATGCAAAGAGAAATACAGGTTCTGGAAGATACACGTTGAATATGATGGTAGACATTTTCTTGGGTGAGTGCTGTTCTTCCAGAAACAACACCTAAATAGACTTGCTGCATAAATTCCTGACTAAGGATCAGGAGGTCTGTGCAATACCAGCAGTGGTTTAAAATAAGATATGTTTTGCAAAATTATTCTTCCCAGGAATCTCTTGGTGGTAAATGATCGAAAATAAATGAGACTAAAGCTTTAATCTGTTTCAGGTTGCTATAGTGATAATATTAGTTCTCTGGTGGTGCTTGGAGTTTCTGGTGCTTAAATGTGTTTTTTCTTATGTGCATAGACTATGGAGTACCCCTGGGAATCTTCCACAGGTCTGTAAATACATATGTACATGGCTTTCTAATCACAGGCTAATCCTGTGATTTCTGTTGCATAGGTACGACAAATGCGAAGATTCAGTCTGGAATATTTGGGAAGGGAGCTGCCTACTCAAGGCATAATGTTGAAAGACTGTTTAGAAAACTGGTCTTGGACAAGATACTGGATGAAGACTTGTATATCACAGCTAATGACCAAGCGGTAGCATATATAATTCTAGGAGAGAAAGCTCAGGCTGTGCTAGATGGATTGCTACAGGTGTGTAACAATTTTTTTTTTTTTCTTGAACATATTGTTTTAAGGAATGTGCTACAGTTTTTATGTAGGATAGTTTAAACATAGTTTGCCTACCAGCTGAAGTACAGGAACTAATCTTTAGCAGATGCAGGGAACAGAATCCAACACGCATGATTTCTAGTCCGGTATTCTAATAATAATGTTGTGAGGCGAAAGGTGAGTTTGAGAGGATTGGAGAGGATTAAATCTTTCTCTTCTCCCCCCATCCATTTGATTCCAGCTTGACAAGAAAGGAAAGTTATGGCCAACACAGAAAAAGCTAGCTAGGAGCAAAAGAAGGAACAGTGCTACCTTCTGCATTTTCTGCTCTATTTTTTTCCAGTCATTGGTGAGCTCTGATGGAAAATGCACTTCAAGAAAGTCATGGAACAAGTCCCAGAATTGCTTGAGGCAATGTCTCCTCTGCATTAGTGCTGTGTTTGGAGAAGAGAAGAGCCCTCAGCATTAGACCTAGTGACCTCTGTTTGAAGCTAGCTGTGAATTGGGTTCTCAGGATTTTTCTTCCCTGTGTTGTGTATACTCTGCTTGTTCTTTGTAGAAGAAACTTAGGGGTGGTTGAGTAGCCTGTAAAAAAAAAACCAACAAAAAAAACCAAACCAAAAAAACCCTTAAAAAGTCTATCCTGGGTAAACAGCGGGGGTTTTTTTGGTCCTTCACTGTTTTCCCATGTTATCAATCAATGTTTTAGTGATGGCTCTGCAGTAACTCCCCTGACAGAAGTTATTGATGGGCTTATTTTAACAGGTGGAGTTTCACGTAACAGAAAGTGCCAGTGCCATCAGAAAGCAAAGGGCTTCCACAGCAAAAATGTCACAGCGAGAAGAGATGGTTAAAAAGTGCCTTGGGGAACTTACAGACACATGCAAAATGCTTGGGAAAGTCTTTGATGTGCATTACTTCAATATTTTCAGTACTTCAACTCTAAAGAAAATAGCAGGTAATGTCAGCTTTTCATTACCTGGAACCCCTGTCGGCAGTAGACTGCATGTGCAACTGTAGCTTTTGCTGACAGAAAATCTACAGTTTCTAACATTTAGCAAAAACGGGTTTAAGTATACATAACTAAGCGAGTCCTATGGAAGTAGCTGACAGCATAGACTCCTTGGAGCGGCAGATTATGCTGTAGCAGTCCTGCTGGGTAAGTACAAGAGCCACCCAAGTAATCATACTGCAAAACAAACTGGGAAGCACTGTCAGAGAAAACTTTTGGACCAGCTTTTGTCCTAACCAACTAGAAGCAAATCCACTAGAATAAAGGCTTACTTCCTTACGAATATAATGTATAGGGTGGAACTAAAAGGAATTAATTTCCTCCAGAATACTCTACCATGATCTCTCTTTAAAAAAAGTTAGTTTGTTTGACATGTCTAATTGGTACTTTGTTACATTACAGAAACCTTGTCATCTGATGCGGAGGTTTTACTGCAGATTGATGGTGTCACAGAAGACAAATTGGAAAAATATGGTGCAGAAATAATTAAAGTGATGGATAAGTACTCTGGATGGACCAAACCAGGTTTAGTATACTTTGTACCTACATGTGTACTTTCCTGTTTAGTACCCTTCTCTCCTCTATCAGAAGTTTTACTCAAAAGTTACCTTGTTTTAAATACAAATAACTAATTCTTACAGTTTCATAATTACAAAAAGGGAGCAACTGCACACTTTCAGAACGTACAAAGGTCTTTGCTATCTTCTCACTAGTTAAATTCAGCATACCTCTGAAAGGCTAAAAAAGGAAAATAAGAACTAAGCAGAGTGCTCTGCTCCTAACCTATTAGTTATTGGCATTTATGTAATATGCTTAGTTATAATGAAAATTCTGACCTTAAGGTTAAGGGTCTTGCACCTCCTGCATATTTTTCCACCTGCATCTACTATGTATGGGGTAACATTGTAGCCTGGCAGATAATCAATAACTACAACCTTTTTATTTTTCATAGTAATTGAGGTCAGCAAGTTCAGGTCTTCACTGACTAGCCCTTGCTCAAATGTGAAGAACTTTCAAAGCTCGGTTTAAAAAAAAAAAAAAAAAAAAAAAATCTATCAGGTCAGAATTGTGGTGTTTCACAGACTTTGCACAGCTCTAACCTTATACACAAAGTTCAGCCTAGTGGAGAATTGAGACCTGAGACTAGTAAATCTGGTAACTTCACATGAGCATAGCATGTGGCCTATGTTGTAATTAGAATATTTAATACAGCTTGGCTATCAGATTAGACATCGTGACCTGCAATTTTAAAGTGATTGAGGTCTACATTTAAGGAGGCTGTGCTTTCATACACTGCAATGTGAATAAATGCATGTCTACAAACCTGATTTTTAAGTATTTTATTCTACTGCCTGTGCAAAGAATCGCATCCCTCTTGATCGTGACTGACTGAGGAGGAGCTCTGCGCTGTCTGAGTCTTTTGGTGTCTCCTGATGCTGTTTTTAAAAACAAGTGCCATATCTGACTGTAGTATTTATGGTATATTCCATAACTCTTTCCAGCTGACATGGGGAAGAGAGTGTAAAGGCAAAAAGCCCAGTGTTACCAAAACAGTTTATAGACAAGAAGCAAAGCTAGAGAAAATAGGACTGGCCAGTATTCTTTTATGTCATGAGACAAACCAAAACTGCCTTCTGTCCTTGCTTTACGCCAACCTACGAAACACCTTTAGCTGAGCCTGGAGCATCACCAGGATGAAGGCTGTGCAAAGGAGGTTTTGAACAGCAAGGAGAGAAGTTTTGGTACAGTCACTGTGTTCTGACTGGCCCAGGCAATTATCTTGATTTTGTTAGTTTTAACTCACTGTCTATCTGTAGAAGATGCCTGCCAAAGTGTGGATACAGCTATGGGAAGCACTGGCACACCTGAGAGTGATGAAGAAGCAGAAGGTGTAGTTACAACCTCCAGCTATTTTTGCAATAATGCAAACCAAAGAAGGAAAAGGAAAAGGCCACCAAACTTCAGAGAATCAAAGAGGAAAAAGACAAGTAATGGTGGTAACAAGCAGTTTCATCCCAAAGGGTATGTTGCTTGTGGTTGTTTGTAACTTTTCTTTGTCCCGAATAGCATGATAATGATGAGCCCAGAATTGCACTGTTATCCTGTGTTTTCTTAAGTATGGGCTTTAAGGATGGCATTAAAATTATCCAGGTACCTGGTAACAACTGCTCTGCTTTGGTTTTCTAGCACTTTTTGTTTAAAAAGCTCCTGGTGAGGAAGGATATTTAACAATTGTCCTTTGTTTCTCACTCTTGACTGCTACAAGCTAAGTAGTGACACTAAATTTCAGTGTGCTGCCATAACCATTATTAGCAGGCTGACTGGATTCTGTGCTTGGAAACATAAAGAGGGCTTAAAACTTCAAAGATTTGATGGAATATTTGAACTTAGTTCCCCGTCCCTCATTAATTCAATTCTCCCTCTGATTGTAACATACAAGGCAACGCCTGCATCAAGAGCATAATGTTTGGATCCAGGAGTCTGGATGGTCTTGAGCTTCTGGGGCAGATCCACCACCAAACTATCACAGGGTGATGAAGGAGCCAGGCTGGGCCTCATCCTTTGAGTCGATGACCTTATTTTAGCAGTTCATGTAGTTCTGAGTCTGGTAACTCAAGTAGTAGCAGTTTGTGCTGAAGGTCTGTGCTTTGAAACATGATGATTAATCGGTGCTGAAAGGGAAAAAAAAAAGTTGAAATGGCTGGAGAAAGTCTGCCCTTCCCAAACTCTCTTTAAAAACAGGGGGGGGTTATGTTAGAAAACTTGAGCACCAAGTTCTTATCTGGGTTTTATAGGTAGGCCTTTTAAAGGTTTGCTGTGCTCATAGCTTGCCTTGCACAAAAAGGAATTAAAGTTCCCTATACTGTGGTATGGTCAGGTTACTTTATCCCTCAGCCTAGAAATTTTACCTCATTTGGTACCTGAGATAGAGAACATGAGGTACAAAAGAGCAGTTATGCAGGCAACCTATGTCTTGCATTTCTGAAATAATTCTTTGAATGGGGTTTTATTCAGTCTATGTGTGTCATAGAAATTGCATTATGTTTCAGCCAGGAGGAGTTAAGGCCATTCGGAAGAGTATCTAAATGATACTAACGTGCTCTCCAAAATGTTCTGTAAAATCCCCAGCTAAAGACTCATGCCTAAATTTTAAAGACTGTTAGGTTTTATTGGTATATTAACTACTGACATTTTACCATTTTAATATTGCATTCATCATCAAAGGGAAAATATGGTCTACCTTACTAAAACTCATTGCTTTCTGCCATTGTCTGTTCTTTCCAAGGATGTGTCCTTCTCTGCCCTGTTTTCCCTCGTTCTGGTCTTCGTTTTTTGTAGCAAATAGCAGTTCCTAGCTCAGTAGGTTTTACTCCCACCCTTTTCACCTTCCCATCTACTAAAATATTACTCATTAAATGCTGTTGACCCTGAAGTGTCACTTAATGTTGATATTCTAATTGGATTAATAGGAGTCAGGTTGGTTCAGCATTCTCTGTCCCCATTTCAGGCTGCTTCTTGCCCTTAGGCAAATGCCAGAGCAACAGCTACACTTGATTTACATTTCAAAGGTATTTTTTCAGCCATGTGCATTAAAAAAAAAAAAAAAAAAAAAAAAAAGCATAGTCTTCTAGAAAAATCTAAGGGTGGTGTACATGTAAGTAAGCACACCATGGGTGTAGGGAACGTTGCAAGTAACGCAGATGTTTGACACATGTACCTTCTCTCTGAATTTTGCAGTGGTTACAGCAAGTACAGAAGGACCAAAAGGCCATCTAGCTCAAAGGCTCCAGCTTCATCTGGCTGCAGTTCAGCATCGTACAGTGTTAGTGCCACACAAGGAGCTGCTGGAAAGCTGGGGATTATGGCACCACCGAAACCCAAAACCAGACAATTCCTTCAGCCTTCATATTCGATATTCTAACTAGGCAAATGTAAATACTGTATAAAAGCAAGCCCTGAAGATGTAATCATTGTTCATCAAATTTTTGTTTCATTTGCTAAACCTTCTGAGACTTGTACATTTGTCAAGTACAAAAACTCCCATTAAATAAATGTTTTTAAGCTCACAAGTTTATTTGGACCTACCTTTCTACTCTAAACAAATAGAGTTCTGACTGGTTTTAGAAACCCTACTATTTCAGTGAAAATATTCCCTGTAAGCCTACTTCACAGCTACCTCAGGGATGTGCCTGAGACCACAAATCAAAAGCGGTTACTGGAACTGCACATCCCAAAGCTGTGCTTGTCTCTGTTCTTCTCCCTTGCTACTTGTGTAAGTACTTCAGAGCTCGATAGCTGAGCTGCTCTTCTGAATATGTAAGTCTTGGGATGCTCACATGAGATAGAAAATATAATTAAAAGCTGTAGGTTTCAAATTTTATTTTGCAGATACTGAGGCTGGAGGGCCTCCTGGGAGTGCCAAGCCCTGCCCCAGGTGTGCCTTTTTTTTAAAAATAAAAACCCTGTGATCTTGTCACAGCCACGGTGAAGGGCATTTGAGCTGCCCTCGGCTTCCCCTTTCCTGCCTTGCACAAGGAAACCCTGCTGAGTTCAGACGAGGGGTTTAGACACACACCCGTGGTCTGTGCACGCCTGGCAGCGCCCGGCCAGGATGAATCGTTTGCTCGCTTGACTGGCGCGGAGGATTTCATCAGCTATTTCTGGGCAACGCATCCACCACGTCTGGTCTTGTGTGTTGTATGACCCACCCTGCGAGCCTCCAGCCCGTTTCAATTCACCTCACCGTTAAAAACGTTCACTTTTTCTCTCCCGAGCACGCCAAGCCGCGCCGTGTATTTGTCGAGCCTAATTCCCTCGCCCCTCTGCGCCGCCCAGCGTGACTCGGAGCCCTTACCAGCGCACCTACGAGTAAGGGCGGGGGCCAGCGCGGGCTCCGGGGTTTTGAGGCGAGCCGGGCAGCTCCGGGGCCGCAGGGAGGCAGGCGCGGTGCCGTGCCCGCGGCGAGGGCAGGGCTGCGGCTGCCGCTGCCTTGGCGGGAAGGCGCGGTGGGCGGGAA